TCACAAGGATTTGAATTTTCGAGAAGAGAGCTCTTTCTGTCGGCTGAGGACTCAATTTGGAAAATGCGCTTCAAGAAAATAAATTAGTTTCGCAAAAAGAAAATGTTGCTGAAATATCTCAGTTAATAAGGCGTGGAACAGAAAAATAATGCGTTTTTGTATTTAAATGAATTTTCAAAGAACCAGGATTTACAGCAAGACTTAGGTGAGTCTCAACAACGTGAATTGTGAAATTTTGCGAATTAGAATATTTATGCAAATTGTTATACTTTTTCTCGTGATAACATGGCATGGCCGGTATGAGAAAAGAAAACATTTTTTAGTTAAATTTATTATGAAGAAACATCAATGTGGCGTTAAAGTACATTTAAAGTAACTTTTTTGAATAATATAAATTTCAAAAAGCAATCATACTTATCCAAGAATTTTGTATTAATTTTCCTCTAACTTTAATAAATTAGCATTTGTTTTTAAAAAATTTTTTTTATGGTGTTAACTTGAAAAATAATACATACACATATATATTGTATATACACTCAAGAGCCAAAACATTATGAAAACCCCTACATTTTGCAATGAACTCGCTTGGATGACGTGGAAGGCACATGATCAGGTGGAAGTGGTATTTAACTGCTGCTGGAGAGTCTGAAGAATCATTCTTTCACTTACTTCTGTGTGTGAGGGGAAAGGCTGCGGATCTAAGCGACTTTGATAGAGGGCAAATTTTAATGACTCGAAGGCTTGGAACAAATATTTCCGAAACTGCACGGGGTCAGTTTCGGAAATACTTGTTCAGTTCATGAATGACGGTGAAACCAGCAGTAGACGACATGGTGTTGGACGTCCACACGTTATCAAAGAAAAGGTCTCGGAGACTGTCTCGCATGGTGAAGCAAAACCGGAGCCAGACAGTGGCTCAGCTGACAGCCCAATACAATGCAGGGCCAAGTAGAATAGTATCGGAGCACACTGTTCAGCGTACACTGTTGGATATGGGGCTACGCAGCAAACGTCCCACTCGTGTGCCTTTGCTGACCAAGCGTCATCGCCAACTGCGCCTGCGCTGGGCCCGGGAACATCGTGACTGGCCCATGGATCAGTGGGAGAGATTTGCCTTGTCAAATGAATCACGGTTTGTCATTCATCACGCCGATGGCCGTGTCAGGATGCGCCGTCTTCCAGGCGAACAGTTGCTCCCTCAATATACAGTAGGTCATACACAGGCCGGTGGTGGCGGTATTATGAGGACGTTCTCTTGGGCGTCTCTGGGACCCGTGAAGCAGACCATGAATGCTACAGGGTATCTGAACATCATTGCGGACCAGTTGCACACTAACATGGCATCTGTTTTTCCAGCTGGAAATGGAATGTTCCAACAGGACAACACCTTTTGTCACAAGGCTAAAATTGTGTTGGAGTGGTTCCAGGAACATGATGCTGAATTCCAGTTAATGTCCTGGCCGCCTAACTCACAGGATCTTTAATCCGATAGAACACATTTGGGATGTCCTGGGACGGCAGCTCAGAGTTCAAAGACCACCAATTCGCAATATCTCGGATTTGCGTGACCATTGCTTAAACATCTGGTACAATCTGTCTCCGGCCATCTACCAAGGACTTGTGGCATCCATGCCAAGGCGGGTCGAAGCTGTGTTGCGAGCCAAAGGGGGGCCAATGTTATTGATTCATGTTTTGAGTCTTGAGTGTATATTTGTAGTTAAACACTGCTTTTCTAATGAGTGGTATTATTGCAAAGGTTTAAAATGTAATAATAAATGTTAATGTTAATGTTTGATTTGTATATAAATAATATCTTTTATATCTTTTTAAAAATATTTATAAATAATTTATAATAATTTTTGTAATATATATAATATAAATATCTTTTATAACGCACATTTTAATTGTTTGGCTAATACACTTATTGAAAAAGAAAATGTTGCAGATTCAACAAGTCTTTGAAATGCGTTTTATTTAAAATATCATAGATAATTTATAATAATTTTGAAATCTTCTTGCAAATTTTCAAACAGTGAAGGAGATGAATAATTTGAACCAATGAAGAAAGAATAAAAGAAAAATAGTTCGAGTAGAAATACATCTAAAATATAACCTCTGATATTTGTTAATTTTATTACACTTACACTGTTACAACGTATCATGAGAAACTCTTTCAAAGCGTGCCGAATGTTTGTTTATTCTTTTTAGTGTCTATTTGATCAGATGTCGGTCTTGATGTAAGACAAAAAATGTACAACTTTATATTCCTAAATAAATGTGGCTCGGTGGTCTAGGGGTATGATTCGCGGTTCGGGGTACGCGAGGTCCCGCTGACCCGTTGATTATTTTTTTTTTTTTAAATAAAAATTAATTTAAATTTCCCACTCTGAATTTTACAATGTTTAAAATTCTACCATACAGCGCATTTAATAGTATTTTTGTCACGCCATATATTTGAAAATAGTCTAAATGTGATGTAAAATTACCATTAATATTTTATATAGCTCATGCACATAATGATTTTGAATGTATGCAATATAAATGTATGTTTCTGAAAACCTCCCTCTTTCTATGGAATGCTTGGTCGGTAGATAATTCAAAGAAGGTCCGTATCCTGTTGTTGCTATCTTGTGACCAAGATTTAAATGTTGAGTTTATCAAAATTAAAGGATGTTACTTCCTCTTTGCGGGGCCTGAATGGATGACGCTCGGTAACATATGCTTCGGGTTTGCGTCCCGGTGGTGCTATGGATGTTTGTAGTGGTTCGAATCCACTTTTAAACCGTAGGTTCCGGTCTAATAGGATAGTAGAGCATTGCGGGTGCATTGTTACTCCGCGTTCGTGGCTTATCTTCAAATTACACGCGCCTCCTCGGTAGTGCTAAGTGAGTAACGTCTGTGCAGCGCTTCCTTCAGGCATCCAAGACAGCTGTCTAAGTGTTTACCAGCTGCATTAGGAAAAAAAACTTCCTCTTTGATGGTTTTCGGTCATCGAAGTGCAGATGGTCAGAGATAGCATTGTAAATGAGGGGGCTTTTAGTGAAAAAGTATTCCAGTCGTCTAAAACGTTAATAGCTTAGAGGTAGACATTGGTTTATATTGTTTGATCGGTGTAAATTGTAGAGGAAACTAAACTGTGTGTGTAGTGTGGAGTACTAATAGGTTTTTATCCAGACGTTTGATGAGATGATTTTGTGATGAGAAATCGACCCCTCACCTCAAAAAAAGAATGATACAGATAAGCAGGTTTGGCTGAGTACCTTGGTCACAAAGCGACCTCTACCTCCTTTCTTGAGAATCATTATGTATCATTTGGGTTGGCTCTACGCCCAGTGATTAATTTCATTGCTGAGCAAAAAAACATTTATGAAAATTTGTCGCCTGCAAATTTGGATGATGGGGCTGATAGCTTTTTAGTCAACTCATCTTCAGTCCTCAATGGACCTAAACAACGAAACAAATTCCTTCATGATGATCATTGTTTAGGAAGTTGTTGCCAGGAAGACGGGGTTCTTCCACAGAGTTGGAGCAGCTGAGTGGTGATTTAGAAAGGCAGTAAAAGGCAAGTTAAACTGTTGGATACCCTTTGGCTGGATTATTTTTGAGTTGATGATTTGAGGTTAGTCTTGATCGGGCAAACTTTAATCATCCTCTCTAAGAACCAACATTTCCTATATCTTTTGCAATTAATACAAATAGGTTGTTCAATTTAACCTTTTATTGGAAATTCCTTCATAGAGTGGTCTTAACAACATTTCAGACAGTTTTGCCAGAAGTTACGTTGTAAAAAATTATGGTAATAAATGTTGCAGTGAAGCATTACATAGCAAGAGGTTTTCTGTTGAACCTTTCCCCCTTTTACTGTAAGATAAAAGCAAGTCCAGCTTGTAGATGTCAGCATTCTTTTTTGATTTGGGCAGGACGACTTGTAAAATAGGCGGGGTTGTCTGTATATATTAAATTACATTTTTTGAGTCCTGAAGGCTTTCGAACCTGCTTTGTTAATTTGTGGTAACGGGGATCTAAGAAGGGTTATTGACGTCCCCTACATTTCTGATTACTTCCTGGCAATGGCATGGATGTTTGTGTTACGAACAAACGCAAACATTCATGCCGGAATCCACGTTAAACTGTAGGTCCCGGTTTGTTTAGCACTCGACGAGTTGACCTTAGAGCGACAAACCAAACATTTGGCGATTTCTTTTGTATTTAATCCGATGTGCCGGGTTTTGTGGGATATAATATTAGTGGTTGATTATTAAGGTTTTTCAGTATATTTTAATGAATTGGAAGTTAGTAAAGGAATCTCTTTTTAGGTAATTTATTTTTTTTTCCTAATTAAGCTGGCAAACACTTACACAGTTGTCTTTGATGCCTTAAAGCCAGCTCTGCACCGACGTTACTAACTTAACACTACCCAGGTGGTGCGTGTAAAAGTAAACTGATTTTTTTGATATTTTATAAATCGTGATTATTATTAGTAAAAAAAAAGCATTAAAAATTAAACTTCATTGCTCCAATTTTTCTGTTTAGTTTTTAGATTTGCCACTTTTAATCATGAACGAAAGAAAAAACTAATAAATAATTTAACACTTTTAAAGTGTTAAATTATTTATTAGTTTTTAAAAAAAAACTGTTTTTTAAAATTTTTAAAATATCAGTTTTCTTCTAAGTCAAATAAATGTATCTCCACTACTTGTATTTTACATTTTCGTTTAGCATAAAATTTTTTCAAGTCTTGATTTCTTGTTCTTAATTTCTAAGGTAAGAAAAAAGCCTACAATTGTACAAATAATTTAACAATACTTGAATTAGAGTAATTACAAAAGAAAATTCAAAAGAATAATCTAAAATATTATTTAAACCTTTAAGATATATTTCATGAGTAGCAATGTGTTAAATACGCATTTTTCTCGCTTTTAAGCTTTTATTTGACCAGCTGTTTCTATCGATAAACGATTGAAAAGTAATTGGAATTATAAGCTTTTCTGTTTTCGTGTGGCTCGGTGGTCTAGGGGTATGATTTTCTCTTTGGGTGCGAGGTCCCGGGTTCAAACTCCCGGCCGGGCCGTTTTTTTCTGTGTAAATTTAATTTTTTGATTTATTTATATAAGCTGTTCTAGCAAGAGAATGATGATTTTCAGAAAGGTATTACAGAAATAATTTTAGGTTTAAAATCAATTCTTGCATCTAAATCATGAGACTGATTTCTGATTAAAACTTCCCACATGTAAAAGATGTACATGTGGGAAATTCAAAACAATGGATGCAAAATAAAAAGTATAGACAGTTGTGTGGCCTACTTTTCAGGAGATGCAATAAACACATTCAGGTGAATTCCATAAAAGAAAGAAGTTACTTCTGAGATTTTTTTTATGAATTTTATCCAATAATCCTTCATATGTGCCTCGAAAGGTAAAAGGTGAAGCCCCAGAAAGGTATTTGAGTGAAGAAAAAAAAAAGAGAAAATGAAATGAGAACCATTTTAAGTGGATTCAGAAAAGAGCCGTCAGCAGAGCATCAGACAAACGAAAAAGTGTCACCACAGGTGAAGAGGCTGCACCTGTTGACAGGAAGAAAAATCAAAGCAAAAGTTTATTAAAGGGCAGTCACTCAGGCGAATTTGGAATATCTGTCTGAGGCCTTTTTTCTGAGTAGATAATTTAATATAGGCTGCTTTTATTTTGTGAGTGATGAGTTTTTATGTTTTGCACGGTTAACCGTTAAGAATATATGAGATATATATATCTTCCTGATTGAAATTTCTTTGTGTGAGAAAAATTTCAATGACAATTATTACTCAGTACAATGGTTATTAGATATTTTAATGATTATAACCAGTACAATATATTTTTAAGGATAATATTATTCCTTAAAAAATATAAGGAAGGTTATTAAGGAGGTTAGTTATTCTGTAAATAATTTATCTCCAAATATCATATCTTTGAATTTATGAATATTAGTCTAAAATTTTCAAATGGGATATTTTTAACTATTTGCCTGTACGATATAATCTCCATGTAATTTTTCAAAGTATATAAATACATTACAATTCTTTTCCTTATAAGTTCAATTTGTTTTCTGATAAAGATGATTCATAACATAATCATTTAGATTATATTCATTATTATTAGGGCGTGAAATGTTTTAGCTATGATATTAAAGTGCATTGAAAATTCCTAATATAAAATTTCATAAAAAATTTTTTGGTATAAAAACTTTTGAAGAAAGGGATTTTAAAATATATAGAGCTTAAATTTGTATACATATAGCAGATACACAGGTAATAATAGGATTTATTATTCAACGCTGTATTTCATATCAATCATTATACTGATTGTTGAATATTTGTCATAATTTTGGATAACTACACTAAATACTGAATGGTTACACTAAATGCTGAATAGCTACATTAAATGTTAAATGGCTGAACTGATTGTTGAAAGGCTACATTGAATGCTTAATTCAATAATGGGTAAAACTTCTCGTGGAGGCGATAACGATATACGACTATGTACGGAATAATTAAATTATCTAATATTATTTTGAGATAAATTATACTAGTCATTCCTCCAATACCACTTATGTGATAGTTTGGGGTTGGCGTATCTGTTGGCCAGTGTTTAATTGGGAAGGCCTGTTAAACTTCCTGAGTAAGGTAAGCATCAAGAGCAAGCGATACAATTTAGAGATAGACAACACATATGTGGTTAAACATTGTATTCTTTAAAAACTGTTTCATGACAACAAGCCATGAAAGTAACAAATACGGTCATATTATGTCATTATCGCATTATTGAGCTGTAAAAAAGGGGAATTTTCTATCGTGAGGAATAGAACCCCACATAACCATCTCAAGATTATTGTATAGGTGTTATGTAAGGGTGTCATCGATGAATACTATGCAACAACAGTCTATTAGAGCCCTAATGATTAGTTATAATACCACTTCAGACGACTAGGTTGATTTCCTGGAGATAATAAAAGATATCTTAAAATCTGTTGTAAGCGTAACCCCACCTTAGACAAGCTGTGGAAGTGGAAGATAACCCAAAGTGCCTGGATAAAGCTGTAACAAATTGAATAACGTATAATTATTCAATGGATAGACGGATCCTGTCCTACAATTATCTGAGTATAGGCATCCTTCTGAGATCTGCCCAGAAAGTCTTTTTGTAGTAACTATTCAATATCATCACCTTTATATAGCAGTGTCCAAGTGGAGGTTTATTGTACGATATGACCAGTTAGATTCTCGCATCCGGGATTATGCAACTAATTGGATATAAGGTTTCGAAAATATGATAAAGGTATTATTATCTGTATCTTCAGGAATCCGTAAAGACACCAGCGTTAAAAGATACACTTTATCCAATAGTTATCTGTATTATAAGATGGTTTGGCGCCAACTCGTGACTATTATGGAATTTAACTGTCATTGGGAGTGATCATTTAATAATTTGCATCTATGGCATAATGGCATATAAATTTATCTGCACACAAAATTTCGAAATGATGATTTTTAATTGGGCAAGGTGTATTTTTGCAAAAGAGTATATAAATGAAAAAAAGTGAGTATTTTTATTAACTCATTTTTTTAAAATCTAAGTTATAAATGTGTACTTACTTCTAGCAAGTAAATCAAATTGGTATATTTATATCATATATTGTATATAATTCTTCAAAAAAATAATAAATTTCGTCGTAAAAAAATTTAACAGTTTAAAAATTAAAAATTCATTCTTCATAACTTTTTCCAGTTAGTATGTTTAATTGTCTGAAATTTTATTAATTCTGTTCAACTAAAATAATAAGTTACGGTGATGAAAAATGAATGCGATGACAAATCCTTCTCATGGGCATACTATATCATACTAATTTTCATAAAATGTCGACTTTCTCCCTGAAAAACAATTTCACAGAGAACCAGATCAAAAAAGCTAAAAATAAAATATTCTTTTAAAAGATTTTTGTTCCATGTATTTTTCCTCTATTGTTCAGAAGAAAACAAATCAAAGGATTAGAAAAAAGACAGGGAAAACATAATATTGTGATAGAAGATCAAGACACTTGGGGTTCCTCTTGATTTATCAGCTTCGTGTTTTTCTACGATGAATTGATTTTCGGCAATAATTAAATGACCCATACACCACTCCGGTCATGTTCGGTCTCGCTGTTCTTTGAAGAAAGAAACAGCATTTCTTGTCAGCAATCTATTTTTGGGTAGCTCCTATTTCTGCAGAAAAATTGTTGTACAGATATGAGTTAATCATTAATTTCGGATGAAAGATAGATCGAAACGCAAGGTGATTTTGATATTGAGTTTCATTTTACCTTTTAAATTATATATTATTTCTTATTATAAAAATATGGGTATCCTTATAAATATAAATTAAATAAAATTGTTGATCATGACATTAATTTTACTCTCTCAATTTTACATATATTTCCAATTAAAAATAATGATAAAAAAGATATTTTTAATTGATTATTATTATTAATTTTGGGTGAAAGATGGATTGAAACCCAAGATGATGTAGAAATTGAGTATGTGTATATATTGAATATGTGTATCCATATAAATATAAATTAAATAAAATTGTTGATTATGACATTAATTTTACTCTCTCAATTTTATATATATTTCCAATTAAAAATAATGATAAAAAAGATATTTTAATTGATTATTATTATTTTGGATTAATTTTGGGTGAAAGATGGATTGAAACCCAAGATGATGTAGAAATTGAGTATGTGTATATATTGAATATGTGTATCCATATAAATATAAATTAAATAAAATTGTTGATTATGACATTAATTTTACTCTCAATTTTACATATATTTCCAATTAAAAATAATGATAAAAAAGATATTTTAATTGATTATTATTATTAATTTTGGGTGAAAGATGGATTGAAACCCAAGATGATGTAGAAATTGAGTATGTGTATATATTGAATATGTGTATCCATATAAATATAAATTAAATAAAATTGTTGATCATGACATTAATTTTACTCTCTCAATTTTACATATATTTCCAATTAAAAAATAATGATAAAAAGATATTTTAATTGATTATTATTATTAATTTTGGGTGAAAGATGGATTGAAACCCAAGATGATGTAGAAATTGAGTATGTGTATATATTGAATATGTGTATCCATATAAATATACATTAAATAAAATTGTTGACAATGAAATTAATTTTATCCTGTCAATTTTACATTTAAATCTATTTAAGAATACTTATACATGATATCGGCTAAAGTATATTTTACTAATAAATTCGTTAAATTTTAAACAACATAATATTAAATCTCGTTATGTGATTGAATTTTATCTCGATTCTGTATGCTATTTTATTTTTCTAATAATATCTTTCATAAAACATATAATAAAAATGAACAAATAAAATCAAACAGTTTTCATAGAAAATATCATGAAAAAATATGTTGATTTTTCCTCCCAGTGATTTTTTTATCGATTCTAGCACGTTTACTATGACATTTCGTTTTCATAATGTATTTTTAGAAATATATAACAGAAGAGTAAATGCTAATTGAAACTTTATTTATTTCATAAATCTTATTACACTATTTTCTGTTTTTTATGTATTCATATATGAAGAATTGTTCATATTCATATATGAAGTAGTACGTAGAATTGTATACATATATGAAGAATTGCTCATATTCATATATGAAGTAGCTCGTAGAATTGTATTTATGTAGGAAGAATTGTTCATATTCATATATTAAATAGTTCAAGTATTGTATTTATATATGAAACAGTTCGTAGAATTGTATTCATATATGAAGATTTGTTCATATATGAATGTTTCTTTTGACAAGTCGCCTCTCTCTTAAAAAATCAGATAATTTTATTTATTAAAAATAAATTTTACTTTTCTTATCATAAAATCGTAAAGAAGATACTCATAAAAAAGAATTCTTTAATTTCATGAAATTTTTATCTCATTAAAAACCTGCCCTAATCTTCCAGGTTTTAGGGCTATCTTACTTGAAACTAATAGTTTTTGATTACCGTAACCAACTAGTTAATTT